AAGGAGCTTCTCGTTAACAGGTTTAGATTTGCTTAAGCTCTTTCCATAAAGCTAAAGGCGGTTGTTTTAGGTCAAGAGAACTAATGATAGAATTTGAAAGTTTAGGTTCATTTCGATTCCAAAAGACATGGGAACATTCAATTGTGGGGCATTTGTTGCCGGCATAGTTAAGGTGAGTGCTCCCTTGGCATATTCATGAATAGGGTTTTAAACATAAATGGTATAGAAATGGAAGAATAAGCCATCCATTATTTCCTCTATGCAGGGAGTTCTTGATAACGCAGGGTTTCCCGCTGTGGTAACGGCTCATTTTGTACCCATTGAAGGACAACAACGTCCTCGGACTACCATTTTGATCAAGTTTGCTGATGAGGTTAATGCCTACATCCCTCTATATCATTCTCTTTTCCTCAAGAAGTAAAAACCTTAATATTGACACTGGTTCTACCTTCTTTACACCCATGGTGTACAGGTCCTTAAAAGAGAAGCACGGCTAAGCCAATGAGAGCTTTTTTTGTCATGAGTTGTCACGGATCATTGGGAACTATTTGGCTTTATGTGGACTGCTAGTGCAAATCTGTTGTCTGTTTTCTGGATGACTTATATAACATAATGAATTGAGCTGCAAAGCCCTTGTCCGTGCATTGATGTAAACTATACGTATCCTCTTGTTACAATTGCAGCTAATGATCCAACACTTTCCTACCTTTAGCACTCAGTTGATGCATACGCAAACATGGTTTATCGTTATGCCAATTGCGAAAGAAAATAAAAACATGATATTATCCAGTGTCGAGGTTACAAAAGCAAATTGATATACCAAATATAATCAGAGCACATTACAAAGCAAAGCATATAACAAGACTGGTCCAACCAATCAGTTCCTGCCGAGCGGGAGTGACCTGCAAGAGTAAGTCTCCCTGAAATCAGTCTTCTTCTTGGAGGAAGTAAAGAGAGAAGCATAGACTTCCTTAGTAGCATTAACCGGCACTTTATCTCCCGCTTTGAATTTCTTCACAGTAATGCCATTGCCATTGACATTCCCATCATCAATCTGTCTCTTTGGGGCAACCTTTGCTCCTGTCTCAGCCACCACAGCAGTGACGCCGTTCTTGCTCTTCTTTGAGACACCTTTCTTCTCTCTCAGCTTTGCTTTCTCCTCCTCCAATCTCTCCCTCAACAAATCCACTTCTTCCTCTGTACCGTTTATCACAATCTTATCAGACTCTGTAACATCCGCGTGACACACCAAACACGAAGAAGACTTCACTTCCTTCAACGCCTTTGCGCTCATCACATGTCCGCATCCCCTCAGAGCCAAAAACTTGTATTTTCCATTGAATTCAAGCCCTGAGACCGGACACTGAAACTGGGCACTGGTCGTATCTTGCGTTGAACCATCAGAACCAGCGACAGGCGTTAACTTGATATTCACCATATCTTTCAAACCCTTAATGTACGAGAATTGCTTAGGCAACCTCTTAGATAACAAAGCATGTACCAAAGCTTCTTTGTTGAACAAATTCCCGAGAAGATCAATCACACAAGGCTCAGCCAAAGGTTCGTTAGACAAAGCACAGTTTAGCCATTTGGAGAGCCTCTGCTCATTCGGATCGACCTTGTCAGGCTTCTTCTCCGCGTACATCTTGAGGTAGCAATCGCGAGATTCGGCTCCCGTCG